AGTTCGGACAATTGAGCTTCAATTTGAGGAGTCTGGACCTCCTTTACACCTCGGGGTGCATCTATGTACCATTCTTCTTCTTGAACTGTATGCTTGGACTCTTCTGCCATATTTTTGATAAGAACTCTAATTTCTGTTGGAGTCTTATCAGCTATAGATCCACCACTTGATGCATTGAGTAATCTCCTATCCCAAGATGACATTCCTTCACAAAAATACTGCAGCAACTGATATTCTGTAATCCCATGTTGTGGACATCTTGAGCACAATTTCTTGAACCGTTCCCAATAAGTATGCAAGGCTTCTCTCTTTTGTTGCTTAATGCCAATTATCTCTCTACGTAAAGCTGAAGCTCTCATTTCGGGAAAATATTTATCCAGAAACATCCTTGCAAGTTCATTCCATGTTGTGACTGACCCCGGTGGTAAGTCATACAACCACTCCTTGGCTGAATCTTGTAAAGCAAAGGGGAATGCCCTTAACTTGATTTGATCTTCTGTGACTTCATGTGGCTTCATACCCACACAAACAACATGAAATTCCTTAAGGAATTTATGTGGGTCTTCATTCTCAAGACCACGGAATGAGGGTAACAAATGGATGAGTCCAGACTTGAGTTCAAAGTTGATTGCTGCAGGGTAATTTATGCACAAAGGTTGTTGGGTGACATCTTGAGTAGCCCATTGTCTAAAGGTTTGTTCAGGTGGTGGATGTGGAGGATTTTGATGTCCTCCATGGTTGTCTGCCATGGTAGGAGTAGGTGAAGATGGTGGGGTGATACTTTTGGATGTTGGAGAGGATGTAGTTGATGGATTTGATGAAGAAGCTCTGGATTGTTGTTGTTTCTTTAAAAGTCTGGCTTGCTTCCTTCTCTGTTTAGCAGATTTCTCTATTTCCAAATCAACTGGTAAAGGTGTACCTGTGCGAAAAGATCTTGGCATAAACAATTAGTACTACCGTATCCCCGGCAACGGCGCCAATTTGTTTGGGTGTCAAACCAACAAATGATGGGATAAAATAATATTAATATAACTTAAATCACTGCTTTTTCTAATACTAAAGATAGTATAGAGTAAGCAGGGTCGGTCCACAGAGATACGGGACTTTTTATCTTGCCATATTTTCACACATAATACAAGTAATATTGAAATGGGGGTTTGTATTTAAACTTGAATTAAACTTCATAAATAAGAAAGATTGAAAACAAACGCAGTAGAAGAAGTACATTTCCGATTCTGACTCTTATATATGTATTATGTTGAAAGATGTAATATGATTATAACTCATGTTCAATCTAGGTTGGTAAGTTGGATATTAATAAACTCTAATATCCAAATTGGCAAAAGTATTTTATTCAAAATAAGCTCTTTAAATAAAATTTCATTTAATTGATTCAACCCAAATAAGCTCTTGCATTAAATCATTAAATGACATTATGTTCTTGCATTAATTACCAACAATGTTTAACATTCCTCTTAAGCTTGGGAATATAAACATTTAATCTTTGATTGCACTAATTTTGATCTAATTACAACCAAGTAAGTGAGTGTTACTAACATCAAATCATAAAACATATACGAATTTCATGATTTGATTAACTAGATTGAATAGAACCCTAGTTCATTGATCAAGTGAAAAAGAGAACTAACCAAACACATGATTAAGATCAAATCAAAGATTACTAGATGTTAAACATAAGTCAAATTCAAGTTACAGCCTAACAACACATACTTAAGAATTCAGATTCGGAAATGATAATAAAATCAACCACACATATCTAGGTTGGACTACAAATCAAACAAGTTTAAACTTCAAATTGACTTACAAAAAGAAATTAAAGTGTTTTCCAAGTGTTAATCTACTTGCAAAAGCTCTGAAAATCGTCTCTTCTCCTCCCAAAATCCGACCTAACCCCATAAAAACTGATTGTCTCAATTATAAGAAGACAAAACCACTTTAAAACTGTCGAGACGTTTACACGGCCCGTGTAAATCAAAGGTGAGGGTTTACACGGCCGTGTAAACAAGAAAAGTAGAATGCTTAGTTCTTCCAGGTCTTCGAAGTAGAATGTCCTTGCATATACGTTTACACGGCCCGTGTAAATCAAAGGCATAAATTTACACGGCCGTGTAAACTCCTGTGAAACCAAATTCTTCATTTCTTCATTCTCTCTCTTCAAAGCTCCAAAACTTCTACAACTTTGTCTCCAACTCTTGATAACTTCCTCCAACAAGATCCAGTCATAAGTCCCTGAAATATCCTAAAAGCGTGTGAATGGAATTGCATCATGAAAAATCCCGAAATTATACAAAATGCATGAGTCTAAACCTAAATGTAATGCACTTTTATGAACTAAAACTATAAAAAATGAATGCATGAAATGCACCTAACAGACCTTGTAGCCTAGGGTATCATGAAATTAAATTTGAGATAATTTAAGAATACCAATTAGAAGTCATGTCACTTCTAAATTTGAAAAACAAAAAGTATCTTATTATTTTGTGTTTGATGGGATAGATAATTGTTTATGAACAATTTTGACTATAACCTAGGGAATAAAGAAATCAAATTTGGGATAATCCAAGAATAATAATTTAGAAGTCAGATCCCTTCTAAATCTGAAACACAAATAATGTCTGATTGTTTTGAGTTTGATGGGATATATAATTGTTTTTGAACAATTTCGTGTCTACATGAGAGTTCAACCATTTTCTTGGAACATTTACATTCTATTTATACAAGGAAGAAAGTGGTTGAAAACCAGTAACATCAAAATCTACGCCAAAGATGATAATTTTTGGACATAACTTACGCCTACATCATCATGATGTCATCTGTATGTTTTGATGGGAAAAATGCATGATGTCATCCGTATGTTTTGGCGGGAATAATGCATGGTTGGAATCATTTCTGATATAGATATTTGTTTAGGTTTCGGAGTGTTGCCCCTTGACCCCGTTCGTTGACCGGTCAATGAAACCATAACCAGGGGCTCTACCCCTTGGAACCCCGTACCTAGGGGCAACGCTCCTGGACCTCCATATTCCCGAGTTCACATTTATCACTCCGAATATACACAACACACCTCCAGTCTCGTTGAATAAATAAAACTGAGTCTATCTTGATATTTATAGTAAGTACATATATATATGGGAAAAGTGAATATACCCTTAAGGGTATATAAGCTTAGGTACCTAAACTCACCATACTACATTGTTTTGTATCATATAATACATTCTAATTGTCCAATGTTCTTATAATTTAACTACTAACTTGATTTACTTCTAATATTTCTATAATTTACACATTTATCTTCCTCTTATATAATTTTCATTTACAACTACAATATATATAGCCTAGTAGGTGTTCGACAAAAACATGTGATGTAAGAGAATGATAATAGTGAAATTTCGAATATCTTGAAAGAAAATGAAGTTAGGGTTGAAGTTTAACAATATTATAATGAATATATCAAACAAAACGATATATTATGGTGTGTTTGGGTACGTAAGTTTATATACCCTTAAGAGTATATTCACTTTTCCATATATATATATATATATATATATATATATATATATATATATATATATATATATATATATCATTAAAATCACAACCATTTTTAATGCTTTTCGATTAATTTGTTGTTTCTCAAAGGAGTACTTGAGATTTGCGGGTTTTTTATTTCAGTTTTCAAGGGTTATATAGAGTATAGACCAGCCGTGGTATTTTATTGATAATCATAGCATTCATTAATATTGTACAATTGTTACTGTTGATATTTTTATGATGCATGTACCAGAACTTGAGCTCCAACACAGATCAAGAGATGCTCTTTAAGTGATTGACAATTTGAAAGGATGGACCACCTCAACATTTTCTACCCCGCAGTGGACACGGAGTCTATCACATGTGGCATGGTGACTTGCCATTGCATGGGTATTCAATACCATGGTGGTTTAACATTTTGTAGTCCCCACTTTATGAAAAAAACAAAGGGATTGTACTTGTTTTCTGTTTTTTTAATCTACAATTTAAAAGCATGACATAAGTTATATCATCAGATAAACTATTGTCGATATGTTTAAAATGAGAATACATGTTATTAAATATGATATGGTGTTTAACAATTTGATTTACATTAGACAAATAAATAAAGTGATGAAATCATTTATAGAGGTTTATGCTTATAAAATTTACAAGGTTATTAGGTTATATTTATGGTGTTGATGTGACATACGTGAGTTGTATAGACTAGACTTTAAATGAGAGTGAGGCTTCTCACAATCAATCAATAAATATAATACAATATAATAAAGATAATAAAAAGGGTAGGTATCTAGGTACTACAAAATTACAATGAGAAATTTCCATTTATATGGGTTATTTAACAATGATAATCGAAGTTAATAACCATAAGATCAGTAGATGATGTTCTGCAGATTGACTAAAACCTCTGAGGAGTCTTGCACACCTCTACAGAAATGAGGTGACAACACAAAAAAACAAAAAAATTCGGATTTTTAACAGTTCAGCAGAGGTGTCTCTCTGGACTCCATGTTAAGCTCTGCAGATTGATGTTCAGGAATATTTTTTTTATTTTGATTTTATATGCAAAAATGATTATTAAGTAATAAAAATTATTAGAGATGATCATTAAACAAAAATGATTAACAAGTCTATTTTAATAATTTTTGTTTAATGATCATTTTTACTAATTTTTGTTGCTTAATAATCCTTTTTTGCTTATAAAATCAAAATCAAAATAAAAAAAATAAAAAATACTAATTCCTCATAATATTCATGCGATCCATAGAGCCCAACATAGGATCCGCAGAGACACCTCTGCGGAACCGTTAAAACCCCAAAAAAATTTATCTTTTTGTGTTGTCGCATCATTTTTCGTAGAGGTGTGCAAGGCTCCTCAAAGACTTTAGTTGATCCGCAGAGCACCCTCTGCGGATCTTATGATCATTCTACAAAACTTTGATTTTTATGGTTAAATAGTTAAAACAACCCCTATAAAATGGTTATATGAAGAAATTTGTCAATTACAATAGATCAAAGAACATGAGTAAAATATGGCAACGATTTCTAGCTCTGGGATGAGGTCATGAGTGTTTTACCACACACTCACCTGCCCCGAGTTCGAGTCGTCGGGTTTCACTTTCTGCTGGTGTTTAACAAGGTGAGGTGGATTTGGGCTTGAGTCAATGGAACGTCAAATATGTGGTGGCCAACAGGCCCACGGTGGAAACCTTATTAATTTGCTTCCATTAACGGTGGGTGTAGACTTATGATAAGCCTAATTAGCCATCAACCAATCTACCTTTCACCTCCATCTACGAAATGCGATAAAATCCATTCTCATCTCCACCGCTATATCATCGTCACTATTTCTTTTTCAAACATTCGTCAAGAACTCCAAATTAAATATTCATGGAGTCTGTGGTATCTGGTCTAGAAGGATCACTCTTGAAGAACAACGATCCTTTCTCCTACTTCATGCTACTAGCTTTCGAAGCCTCCGGTTTAACCCGCTTCACATTTCTACTACTAATTTGGCCGGTAATCCGACTACTAGATATTTGTGGGAAGGGCGACACCGGTGTAAAGCTGGCCATTTTTGTTGCCACCGCCGGCGTTTCCATGTCGGAGATTGAATCTGTGGCGAGAGCAGTTCTGCCCAAGTTTTATTTTGATGACCTTGACAAAGATGCTTGGAGGGTGTTTAGCTCCGGTGAAAGAAGGGTGGTCGTGACCAAGATGCCGAGGGTTATGGTGGAGCGGTTTGCCAGGGAGCATCTCGGAGCAGATGATGTTGTTGGGAGTGAACTTGGGGTTAGCCGGTTTGGGTTAGCTACAGGGTTAGTCCAGGTGGGTGATTTTGGTGGCTCAATTTGTGATCGTATTGCAGCCATGTTTGAAGATAAACAACCTAGCTTAGGGATAGGAAGATGTCATTCTGATTCTTCATTTTTATCTCTATGCAAGGCAATAAATTAATTAAATCCTTTTTAATTCATATATATATAATCTTGTGTGCATGAAATAAAAGCTTACTAATTCATATATATGCAACAGGAACAAGTTAATACACATTACCCGATGACCAAAAACCAGAAGCATATCGCCGATCAAGAAATCCAGCCGGTGCCGGTGATCTTCCATGATGGGCGCCTCGTAAAGAGGCCGACTCCCTTCACAGCTCTTTTGATCCTCCTTTGGATCCCGTTCGGAATCATACTCTCAATCACTCGTATAATTATCGCCCACATTTTGCCAATGTGTATGGTTCCTTACGTGATGGCATTCTTCGGCGGGAGGGTCATTGTGAGAGGAATTCCACCATCGCCGCCTTCCCGCCGGTCAAACTCCGGCGTGCTATTCGTCTGTACCCACCGAAGCCTAATGGACCCCCTTGCGTTATCGGCAGTTCTCCAACGCAAGATCCCGGCGGTCACCTACTCACTATCAAGATTATCCGAGCTCCTGTCTCCGATCCAAACCGTCCGTTTGACCCGAAACCGACACGTGGATGCGGAACGGATAAAAAAAGGATTATCCGAAGGTGATTTGGTGATTTGCCCGGAAGGTACAACTTGCAGAGAACCCTTTCTGCTCCGATTTAGTGCGCTTTTTGCAGAACTAACCGATCGAATTGTACCCGTTGCAATGAATTATCGACTCGAGTTTTTCCATGCAACCACTGCTAGGGGTTGGAAAGGTTTAGACCCTATTTTTTTCTTGATGAACCCGACACCCATGTACGAGGTGATATTCTTGAACCAGTTGCCGGCAGAGGCAACATGTTCGTCGGGAAAGAGCCCTCAAGACGTCGCGAATTATGTTCAGAGAATCTTGGCGGCAAGTTTAGGGTTTGAGTGCACTAATTTTACGAGGAAGGACAAGTATAGAGTTCTTGCAGGGAATGACGGAACAATGGAGCAGCCTAAGAAAAATGGTCGGACCGTGAACAAAGTGGTGATGTAATTATTTACATATTTCACTCAAATAAATATTTTATTTATTATAATATTTTCATTTTGATCGGTTTTTCTTAGTTTTTTAGCTGTTATATTTTTCTTGGCCAATTCAATTGTCTATGAAAAATTATGGGCCTATATTATTATGTGTATATATAAGATACGAAAGTGTAAGACTATTATACACTTTAATTTAAATAAAAAAATTAAACATTAAAACGTAAGTATTAAATATTCTTTAATATAAAACTTTAAAATAAGAAAGAAAGACATTATTGCAATTTAATTTCATATATATTATATTTAATACTTTACATATATAATTATGATTTTAATTTTAAAATCGAAATAAACCAGAAATTAACACATGAATAATATTTATTTCAAAAATACCACAAAATAACAACTCTTAAAACTCATAAGAGATTTATAAGTGGTAAAATTATTTTTATTTACCAGGAAGATATATATGTATAGTTTAATGTATAAATAAAATGGAGTTAAAAGTCTAAGTTTTGATTGACGATAAATTTAACTAAAGTTAGATATTAGGTTGTCAACTCTTCTATATTTTAGAAAAAAAGAGGGTGGATTTGTATGAAAAGTAATATGATTATGCCGAAAATCATTAAAATTTAGTGTTCAATTAATTATGGATTGTTTAATTATATAAATACCAGACGAATTCTCATTCATTGTATAATAATATAATTATATAGTTAAAATTAGACCCACTTATGAGAATGGGCAAGTGAAGCAAGCATGTTTACAAGGCTTAGGCCCCATTTGATACACATATTTCTAGATCCAAACAGATCTTTCAGGCTGAATGGATCGGAAAAACTATTTGACTTGTATAAAAGACTGAGTCTTTCCCGGTAAGATATGTCTTTCCTAGAAAGCCCTAAAATCATATCTTTCTGGCTGAATGGGCTGGAAAGACAATTATACACAAAACCCCGCCTTTTTCTTTTCTTTATTGGATTATTAATTTTTTAAAATAACTTTTTTTAAATAACTTTTTTTATTGAGTTATTATTTTTTTTTTCATCATTCAGCACAGTCAATCAGATCAATTAAACAACATGATTTCTTTCCCAGTCAGAAAACTTTCCCATACAACACTTTACCAGACAACACTTTCCCAGACAAAACCTATCAAACGGGACCTTACTTTTTTAGAGGGACGGAATTTTTTTTATACTATATTCAATCATCAACAATTGGGCACAAATGCAAATGAATGAAAGATAGCTTAGTCGTCTAGAATATAGTCCAACTCTTCGATCAGTTGTAGACTCGTAGTCCACACACGAATGCAAATGCAAAAGGCAGATTGGCAGAAGCAAATATTAGCGATCATTCAAGATCAAACAAGGGGTAGAAGGGGATTAATCGATTACGAAAAATCACTCCTGACTCATGCAGTCATGTTATTGCTAATCAGGTAAATAGGTAATCATCGATATTAAGTAAAGGATTGTATTAGTTCCTTTAGAAACAATTGAAATTGACGACCACAAAAGATAGAGATATTTTTTGTTGGTTTCATTCCTTAATTTGGTGATTTTAAAGAGACCTTCCAAATGTTTGATATAATGTTAAAAGGAAATTGTTATGGTGCAAAATGTGTGTGTATCATGTGTTTGGTCAGATGACTGAGTGAATATCTTCTTTTGACTTGTTATTAAAACACCAGTTGAATGATCAAAAGCATTTCATGCCTTTTAAGTTGTCATTCCTGAACCAAATCGAAAAATTATTCTTGTCTACCAAGCATATGGGAAACGAGCCCATTATTACTATTTATATGGGCTTTGATTCTTGTTGAACATGTAATAGTGCTATTTAAATTATGTTTTTTTTTCTTTTCAGTTTTTTAGGTTTATTATATTTATAATTTTTTTATTGCTTAAAAGCATGGTTGTAGAACTCGTTACTCGGTACCTGCTCGGCCGACTACCAAGTAGCGAGTACTCAGGAGTACTCGGGGAGTACTCGGATTCGATAATTCATGTAGAAATATTTTTAGGTAACTTATATATGTCAAAATCATAAGTTAAAATCTTAAGTTGATTGAAATATATAACAAAGTTAGATACATATGAATACACAAAAACTGAAAAACACATAATCGTCTCACTTCGTGAATAATTACAGAAAATTTAAGATATATATATATATATACATATATATATATATATATATATATATATATATATATATATATATATGTAGTAATAATCACATATGTCTGTTAAATAATAACTCATTAAGTATATTATACATATTAATCACTGAGTTGACCGGGTTTAACAACGCTGCTTAGTTCGGTAAGGAGCCAATCAGGGAGTACTCGAGATTCTGTAACTCGCCTCGATAAGGGGCCGAGTAGTGAGTACTCGGAGGAGTAATCGGCCAACTCAGTGAGTTTTACAACACTACTTAAAAGTCATTATTACATGAGTTGATTATAGAAATAACTTGTAATCTCATGTTTTTAATGAGTATCATTACATCATGGCCATATTCTGGTTCTCTATTTACAAGCATGTGAGGATTTCATCGTTGTTAGTCATGAAATCAACATACCATATATATATATATATATATATATATATATATATATATATATATATATATATATATATATATATATATAAATAACCCAACTACTCTATATTATATTCAAATATGATTTGAATGACAATTGGTTCATAACTAAAACATACTGAAAATAGTTGTTATTTATGCTTTAAGATTCCATCTTGACGACTTTTAACCTCCTTTTGCTTTTTTTTTTCAAAATTTGCATGGATGGGACCCGTCAATCTTTACACCGGGCAATACTGGATTGGAAAGTTGCTTAGGTATGACCTATAATTGAAATTTAGTATGATTCCATTACGGTGTTTGGTATGCACCTGAATCCAATTTACATAAGCCAAGGAGATAGAACTCAAGCTTAACTAGGACATACTTGGAATGAAAGAGTATATATAAAGATAAACTGAATACAAGAAATAGCAACATACATTTCATTTCTTTGAATTCAATATTATACCTTTGATATAGTTGTTCTTAATAGCAATGTACTTTCATTTTATTACTCAAAGTACCAACGCACTTTTATTTCTTTATTTAAATTACTCTTTGTGGGCCATGCATAAGGGAATTTTTCTTCTGGTTTGTCATGGACATTTGAATCCTCAAGACCGGCCTTGGTTAAAATAAATCATTTTTTTAACGAATTATGGTTTCATATTTATAAATGAAAAACAAATGTTGTAACACTCGTTTCCTGGCATTTCCATTTTCAACCCTTAAATTCCAAATTTCTGCATAATAAGCCCTTACACTCAACGTACATGAACTGTATGTCAAGCATAAGTCTTTAAAAAGGATCGAGGCGAAGGTTGAGTATGTTGGGCGTACTCGTGCTACTCCTAAACCCTAAATTTTTAGGGTTGTGTCCCATATTTAAACATCTCATTCCCATTTGAACCTTCTTAAGACCAACCTTCATCCCTTTTAGCCCAAATATCAAAACCCTAGCTCTTGAGTGAGTGTTTTAAAGCCTTTGTGTGATTCTTGAGTGTTTTTGGTGGTGAAGGAAGATCATTGAAGAAGTTGTAGTGCACTCATGTCCTTGGATCCAGAATCTACACCTTGTTGTTCATCTTAAGAAGGTATAAAGTTCATACCTTGAGGTTTGCTTTGCTAGATCTTGTTTAAGCTTGAGTTTATGTCCATTTTATTCCAAAATCTTGGTCTTTGTGAGTACGGACTACTCCAGACCATTTGAGTTGTCCTTTCAAAAGTTTTAGAGTGCATAGTGTCATAAAAATGCAAGCTTGGTCCTTTCCTTTCATCCATGCTTGAGTTATGGAGTTTTTGGTGATGTTAGAAGTTAGGGTTTTGGGATTAAGATTTCTTTAGCCATGCAAAGGCATAAAATTTAGAGACTTTATGGATTAGAATGCCATATAGGGTCAGATCTAAAGTTGGGGTAAAGTGTCTTAATGATTAAGAGCTTAAAAGATAAGTTTGGTTTTGGGTCGTGTATGTTGGGCATAAATCTAAATACGCCCAACATAGTTGGTTGAGAACCCGTTTTCTACCTTTGTGCTCTACGCCCAGTGTAGAGCTTGAGTATCCGCGCGTAAGGTCAAATGTGTTGGTTTTGGTTTTGGAAGGGGCAAAATGGTGTTTTGCCTAAATTGTGGATTAGACATGGCTTGGGACTAGTTATGTATGGAAAATTACCTTAATTGTTAATTAGGGTTATTTGGTGTAATTAATAGGTGAAGTCTATTTCCTACAGTTTGGGTGTGAGTACTATCAGGCATATGTGCGAGATGAGTCTCCTCACTATACTCACCTATGTGGTAAACCATATGTGTTAACTGTGACATCCCTAATTTCACGGACAGACTAGACCGATTTGTTTATGCTTTGTTTTATAAAATCAGAGTAATCCTTTGATTAGAAGAGTTGCGGAATTTGTTCCCAAAATAAAATATGATAAAATAAAATTTATCAAAGCATTTTTTAAAGAAATGTATTTTCATTAAATAACAAAATCTTGGGATATCATGTTCCGATATAGACCAAAAGCATAAACAATATAAAATAGACCTTACAACAGTTATTTATAACTACTGATCTATAATCCAAAATCTCTCTTCAAGTCCATCAACTTATAGTCTTGTGCCATTACCTGTAATGCAAAGAAAACTGAGTGGGTCAGGCTTGGGAGCCTGGTGAGCATATAGGTTTTCAACCCACAATAATATAATTATTATATTTAATCATCAAACAATCAACCCAATTACCCATCCCCATTATCTTCTTTATTTCTTAAGGTTTCACCCTAAGAATTAGCTATCCTTTATTCATTCGTTCCTAAGGGTTTACCTAAGGAATTGGCACGATGTGCATGTGTACGAATCATGCCGGCGCCTTCCCGCGATCATCACTGGTATCTGAAACACATAACACATAACACATAACACTGTAAGCATAAATGCTTAGTGAGTTCCCCAAAATACCAATCTAACACATAATAGCCACTCAAGGATGTAACTCTGTTGACCCTTAGGTCTATGTGTCTCAGTGGGGCCCTCCAGCCCCAACTCTCTATGGGCCCTCTGGCCCTAACTCTGTGGACCCAAAAG